CCATGCTGGTGTTCCCTGAAGCCAAAGGAAAAATGGAACGCTATCAGAGGTAATACTGATAAGTCACTACCAACCTCAGCCCACCCTAAAATTTGAAATGCTTCCTGAACAAAATGTTCTATGGACAGAAGTGAACACCCTGGATCCAGTTCTGGCCTTTGACCAAGCTGGCAGTCGTGCTCTCTGGCCTGCCATCAGGGGCTCTGCACTGAAGCAGTCCAAGCTGCTGCTTCATCTGCATGAACATCAGCCCTGGCCTCGGATTCTAACAGGAAGAGAAGCATGTCCATTGCATTTCACATCTAAGAGGCAAAACAATTAAAATGCTGACAAAAGGGAAAAAGGGTGAATGAGGGTAATCTGAGACCTAGGAGACTGGTCAGACAGTGGAGCTTGGGCCCCTCAACAGCCCTAATGTGGGCTTTATCCTCCCTGACCTGAGCAGTTTCCATGCTATGCTGTGACCATCTCAAATGGATGTGGGTGATGGGGGGGAATCTTAGGTAAATTTTAGGGGGCTTCCAGGAATCTGATGTAATCATTCTGTCTGCTGGGAGTGGGTGCCTCTTACACCCTCCCTTTTTCTTGGAGGCTCCGGAGTGAACAGGGAGAGAGAAGGCTGGCCAAGCTGCAGGGCGTAACCTCCTGAAGCCTCACTTTCATCATTTGCAGGAGAGCCTCGTTGCAGCAGGATTGTTCAGAGGATTTGACGAGAAAAAATATATTTAAAGCACTTAGCCCTGTGCCAGGCACTTAGCAAGTGCTTAAAGGATAGGAGCTGAAGCTCTCGTAGCTATTTTGGACTTCCGAATTTATCTACCATAGCCATCATCAGATTACACTGAGGGGAATTCAAAGCCAAGGGGTGGTCCTGTGTCCCAGGTCACAGAGTTTGCGGGTGAGGGGCAGAGCTGTCCCGCCCCCAGTCTCCCCACTCTATGATGTCTTTCTTCGCTGAATCCCTTACTCTCAGGACTCATCTGGCTTAGCTGAGTTCTCCATAAATCACACTTCTCAAGCTTCCCACCTTGGTCCCCTGCAACTGAATCTATCCTCCGCATCTACTCAATCCCTAAACCCTCTTGATGCTCCTTTCAAAGTGCCCTGTGAAAATGTCTCCTCTGCTTTCCTGCCATGTGGCCACGGCAGCAGTTGTTCTGTCCAGAAGCATCTACTCTCTTTACCCATGTCTGGTCCCTTTACGTCTGGTCCCTCCATCTCCTCCTCGGAGAGACCGTCCAGGACCATCGCAGCTGGAGGAACGCCGCCCCCCCTTCTCTCTGTCTCCAGTCTGTGGTCGGTACAGCGGTGTCCCCAGCCCCAGTAACTTTCTCTTCTTTCTCTTTGTCTCCTATCCTCAGTGGAAGCTCCCAAAGGACAGAGAACACGCCACCCTCACTCACTGCTGGGTCGCTGGCACTGACATGATCCACAACACACAGGTGTGGGGTAAACACACACCAGGTGAATGAATGCATGAGCCAACAGATGGATTCTAGAAACAACAATTTGGTAACACCTGGACAGGACCAGGGCAGACTGTAACTTGCTGGGAGGACGCCCTGGACACCTGTTTGGCCCCCCTTCTTGGCCTCCTAAAAGAACAGCGCCAAGCTACCCACAAAGACGAGGAGTCTTCCAGGCGGGCAGCCCACACAAAAGCACATCTTGCAGTCGGGGGAAATGGGCGGATGGTTGCTAATTGCGACTTCCAACTGGGCTGATCTTTCAAAAGTTCGAAAGGCGCCTGCCTCCCTAAATCCCGGGCTGCTACCGCTGCTGGGGCTGGAGCCGGAGGAGAGGAGGGGTGTGCCTGGGCGCCTCTTGGGCTGGCACGGAGAAGACACATCTCCTCCTCCCTCCTCCCCCCCAGCTCCTCTCCAAGAGAGGAAGCAATGCAGATGGAGACGAGAAATAAATATTCCTGCCTGCTCTGTGCCACTGCAGACGTTTTCCAAAATGTCTGGCTTGGACCATGAAATCAAGCCCACCCAGGAAAGGAGGCGCTCAGCGGGAGAAAGAGGGGGAAAAGGGTGGCATATTTGTCGGTACTTGTCAGCTTTCTGGGGGGCAGAGCACATGGCTCAGACTTGGCAGCCCCACTGAGGTGGGGACGTGGTAAGTGCACAGTAATACTTAAGGAACGGAATCAGAAATGGGAGCGGAGTGAAGGAAAGCCTGCCAGGATCTCGGCAGCATCCCTAAGCCTTTGTCCGCGGTCGCAGGACTCCTGGCTGGTCCCCCTGTCCTTGGTGTCGAGGCCCGGTCCACAGTACCTGCTGTCTCCACGCAGCCCTCCGACCTCCACCCTGCTCTGGGATGGTTAACACCACTGGGCCGCAGGCAGTCTTCAAAGGCCCTGTGAGATTCGGGCAGGAGCCCAGGATCCACGTGTGGAGACATTCCTGCCACCTCTCTGCATAGCTCGCCTCCTCCAGCGCTGGAGCACCGGCAGGGATGAGAACACAGGCTGCAAATGATAAGTGGGTGCTTCTGGCCTTGGGGGAGCCGAGCATGTGGGAGGAGTGGCATTAAGGAGGGGACGTCACGGGCCCACCGACAGCCCCACAGTGTCCCGCGGTGACGGGAGCTTCACGAGGTGGGCTGTGTGGCTGCAAATGTCTCCCAAAGGGGAGATTGAGAGGATGAGAATTCTAGCATGAACACTCTGGCATGTGCTAGGTCTTCTTTGTTTCTAACCCTGCTGTGAGAATCCCCCTAGCCCCACGTTCCTGTCACCTCCAGACCACCTTTCACTAGGTCCCCTGGTAAGCGGGGAATGTTCCCCTGGCATTAGGGTGGGGTCCTTAGAGGACTCAATTCTGCTCCAGGAAGAGCAGAGAGGCCTTCATGGTTTGCACTGGTTTGAATCCAGTGCAGCAAAAACAGTTGCTCAAAATGAAGACTCAAGGAAAGTGGTTATCTTTTGTGGGTGTCAGGGTAGTGTTTTCCCAAAATGCTGCCTTTAGTTCTGCCTCTTTTCACCATTCCCGTGACTTCACTGAGGAAAGAGAGATTATCTAATATTTCCCACTCATGTGCCCTGAATCCTTCTTTATGAATCTTTCCTGCTCACATGCCCATCTGCCTTCTAGTGTCAGGCAATTGCCAGCTGAATCCCACTCTCTCCAGGAAGCTGTTTGGTGGTGGGGAGAAGCTGGCAAAAGACCTGAGTTCCTGTCCTCATTCTTCCCGCTGCTGTGTGACATTAGATAAATTACTCCCTGTCTCTGGTCCTTGGTTTTTTGGTTCATCAAAGAAATGGGTTGGATAGGGTTCCTTTTGGCTGTGACACATCATGGGTGGTCCTACTGAGTGAATCAAATTGCTGTTCTCTGTCATCATCCTCTTCCCATCCCAACTTTGCCAACAGATTCCAGAGACCAAGGCCATCACACTTTAAGGACTAAATTCAGTCCTTACACTTGAGAAGGTCAGAGCTGCATATCAAAATAAGCTGGGCACATAGATAAAGTACCCAGGAAATCTAATGTATGTACTAGGGAAAGCCCAAAGCAGGGTATATTTGGAAAGAACTTGTAAACATGTATTAAGTTTGTAATGCATGATCACCTTCTTAGTTATCTTTTATTAATCAATGCTGCCGTTTACTGAAACCTACTATGTGTTACGACTATGCCAAGTCTTCCACTCACATTATTATCCTCATGACAGCTCATTACAGAAGAAATTACCTACTCTCCACTTGCCTACAACATTGGTAGTTGACATGAATTAACACAGAGAAACATAAACCGAAAACAAAAGGACACAATGGCATGCCTCCCACAAACCAAAAGCAAACTCAGGCTCAGAGAGGATGAGACACTGACTCTAGATCACACAGCTGATTAATACAGATAATGGGATTTGAATCCAGGTCCGCTGGATTCCACAGATGACAATGTGCTCCTCCCCTGGCCCGTGCTGGGCTCTGCCTTGCCATTTGATGCCTGTCTAGGAGATTCTTCATCTCCTAGAAGAGAGGTTTTGAAGCACCCATAAATAGCAGGTCCTAAACTGACTGCCTTTCCTGCGGTGTTGTGAGAGGAAAACAGCTGGTCTACCAGCCAGCAAAAACCTTGCTGTGAGAAATGCCAAGAAAGCACGCAGCAGCAGTGCCCACCTCGCACAGGAGGAAGGGTGAACTGGTAGCCCATTTAAGCCACCATCTCCATGGATCACTTACCTACAGAGAATGAGTCTGGCTTCTGCCCATGACCTATTGCATTTCTGAGTCCATGTGGCATGTTGGCACAGAATTAGAGCTTTCCCGAATGTATACACATTGGATCACGCGCAGCAGACGTTGTAAGCTCGTGTCCCCAAGCCCAGGCCAGTAAGGGAATGAGCAAAATGGCAAGGAAAGGGGCTACAGGGAACTGGTAAACACCTCTCTGATCTGTGGGGACTACCGACCGAGTTCCAGCAGACTGCTGCAATGCACACATGCAGACCGAAGGCTGCCGACTGCCTGCCTTATGAAGAAACCCCGGAATACTGACATCTCTGAGTTCTCTTGATTCTTAAATGTGGGCAGCTAATTCAGTAAAGAAAGGTGTATCTGACATGGTGAGGACCAAACAAAATCTACTTACAAGCTTTATCTGACTTTTAGATCTCTACTTGGTAATCTCTAAAATTAATTCTCCTCATTTGCAGGAAAAGGAGCCCAGAAATACCTGAGCTAGCTAAGGTGAGCACAGACTGGCAACCCACTTTGGATACATACATATATTAATAGAGACATATATGTGTCTGTGTACATGCATATACATACATACATATTATATATTCAAAATTAAACAGAAATGATTTGGATTACTTGTTGTTATGAACTGTTCTGCTTATTTTCCTGTGTTATTATTATACATTAGCAGTTGACCACAATGAACATATATATACAAACCTAAACCAAAATGACATAAAAAGTACCTCGCCCCTAAACCCAAACCCGAATTAGAACATAAACCAGGAAAAGAAAGAAGCTCTTTACTTACGGTAAATGACAAAAAAGAAGAAAACAAAGTCCCCTCATCATATCTGGACAATTTTGCAAGCACTCCTTCCAGGATTGTAATGAACTAGCAAAATAGCAAAAAGGGAAAAGAATCATTATTTCAAACTATAATTGCTCATAATAAAGAGCAATATTTCCCAACCTCCCAGAGACCAGCAATGAGCCCTTGCTCATTTTTAAGTTCTATTATTTGGTTCCTGTCTTTGGGGAAAGGAATAGACTGCCTTTACATAGAAATATTTGACTTATTCGGCTTTCTCTTCATTATTATGTGATTGCAAATATAGAGTGTTACAGAAGTGCAAAGTGACAAAATATTATTGAGTTGCATATAGCATGCGATAATATTAAATGCACTTTTCAAAATCCAAAACTGCGCAAAGCAGTTTTTACGTTACATATTAGCACTACATTTAATCCAATCTATTTTTATTTGTATTTTATCAGTAATTTTGGGGAAACAGAAGTTTAGCACTGGCAAATATAAATGTCTTCCCATTCAGCATTACTTAGTTAAAATTCTATAATTCATGAGGGTGACTGAAATAGCTTTATCTGACTTTTATGTTTTATTATGACTCTCACTGCATGTGAAACGAGGGGAAAGGGGGTTTTCATGATGGCAGAATTCCTTATTACCATTTAACTTTCTGTTTTTAAAAAGCTAACTTTGTCAGGGCTGAAAAACAAAACAAATATTTCCTGCATAACCTACTGCAACACTGGGGGACAAATTTTTATTAGGGTAACATATGCCACATCAATTCATCTTCACCGGGCTCACAATCATCAGAAAAATCCTTTAGAGCTGCAGCTGGGTGACATACTATCTTGTTTCCTGGGAAATACAAGCACCCAGCGCAACTTTTTAACGTGTTACATTTTAATGGAAAAGCAGACATAACAAAGCAATATTCACAATGAAACATTTCACCTGAAGCTGAAGGTTACCTTTGCAACCAAGAGTGTTATCATTTCTTTAACAGTTTCTTCAATTAGTTCATCTATTTTTGAGTGGTATTGATGCTAAAGAACACAGAAAGACAAACATTAGCATGTTTGGGAGGTGCTGGCACTGCATCCGTCGGTAATTTTTAGACAACGCAATTTATAAATAAAACCTGGCCGGCAGACCTATTTTATTTCCATAGTCCCAGAAGCAGCTGTAAGATTCTGACTCCATGTCTTTGATGAAGAAAGATCAGAAGCTCTTAAAAAAAAAAAAAATGACCAGACGCGTTGTTCCTTACCCAAAGCTTTTGCTGGCTTTGATATGTGTAGACACATACATTTACAAATAGGATGCAGGGGTGGCTTAACAAATGGTCTGGCAGTGTGTTGATCTGGGTCTTATAAAGCAAGACACCGCACTGATTTAATATAGAGGATGAAAATTATCTTTAGGAAACTGCTGGGTGATGTGACTTTGGGAGTCACAAACTCCAAAGGGAATGTGAGCAAGACTGACTGATTTTGCACGAACTGTTCTCAAGTCATCAGATCCTTCGGGTTACCGCCTGAGAGCCGCCCAGTTATATCTCCAGGGGTTGACTCAGTGTAACGGCAAAGTATCTCTCTAGGAACCCTTGTGGCAGTTACTCAGTTTCTTCATTTGTGGAGGAGCAGACCCAGGTTTATAGGTTCTCCTGAGACGACTGCTAAGTTTTTCAATTTCTCGTACTGCCACTGTCAATTAAAACTTAAACAGTAATGCAAAAACAAATCCCCACACAAACAAAAATCTGCTGTAAATGCCAGGGAAAAAGGAAAAGCAATTTCAACAGAAGATACTGCATGCCAGCTCCTTGACATTTATTAGATCATTTTAGTATCCATTTGAATTATTCCATATTTCCTTAATAAAAAATAACAATGCAAAATACTGCTATTTGGAAAGGAAAATGCACTTACCCACTCTTTAGCAAACTTTCAGAAGGATGATTAATTAGGAACAGAAAAGAAAAGAAACAGTGCAAATAAAAATTAGGACAAAAGGACACATGAGAAAAATCAAAATTAAACAAAGCATCCAAAAAGTTATGAAAACATACAGAAATAATAAGCCATAGTAATGTGGTTTGATATTCTGATAACTGGCAATTAGGAGCAAAGGGATGTGAATTAGGTAAATTCACTTAGTCATAGGTGAATTCTGATTCTAACTGGAAGGCTGAGATAAAGTCCCAGGGCAAAGTTGGGAAGTCATGATGTCTAAGAAAATATGGCTCAGTTTCCTCATCTGCAAAAAAAAACAGGTAATACTACCACCACCCAGGACCAACAGTAAGGGAGGCAAACTAGTAGGGAATGAGGCAAACTCCGTATGAAGACATTTAGCATTACTAAAATGATGACTAAACCAGGGCTAAGTCTTTTCCTGCCAGTCCTGCTCTCAAGCTCAAATATCTACTTTGAAGATCATACTGAGGGTCTAGATGTGAAACCATTTTGTCAACTATAATTGCAATTCAAATATTTGTTCAAGGTCATAAAAGAGAAGATAAAGTGAGGGAGTGATCACCATCAGTCATCTCATTTTAGTTTTTATTTCTTTATTTATTGAAGGATAATTGCTTTATCATTTTAGTTTTTCATTTTAGTTGATTAGAGGAAAATAAGAACATGAATGGTCCATGTTGGCTCTACTGGTAGCTTCATGAATGTAGCATAAATCAGTAAGTGGCATAAACCTTGAGGTAAATAGAAAAACTATCTGCAGGATTCTGTGCTAGAAACACAAAGAAAGATGTCAGAGCAAAAGAATTTCCGGAGTATTGACGAGGCTCCAAATTCATTTTTAGGTCTTGAGATAAGATCCGGAATCACATGCTTACTTTCCTTCCCCATGTGACTGCCTCACTCTGCTAGATTTTCTTTAGCATTACTATAAATGATTCACCTTTATTAAACTAATTATGCGGCTTAACTCAGGAAAGCTAGCTGCAGGCAAAATAATATAATTTGAAATATTAAATGAGGGGCTTCTAACCAAGCAAAGAACATCACTGAGCACAGGAACTCTCTTGAAACACTTGGCTGAAATGGCAAACAAAGCCGATAGCAATCACTCTCAACGCTCTAAGAAAGATCCAGGCTTTGGCTTTCCTGGTGGTCCAGTGGTTAAAAATCTGCCTGCCAATGCAAGGGACCAGGGTTCGATCCCTGATCCAGAAGGATCCCAAATGTCTGTGGAGCCTGGGAGCTGCAACTACTGAGCCTGCACACCTAGAGCCTGCTGCGTAACAACAGAAGCCACTGCAAAGAGAAGCCTTCTCATCGCAACTAGAGAGACGGTAGCCCCCCGCCTGCTGCAACTAGAGAAAGTCCCTGCATGGCAATGAAGACCCAGGGCAGTCAAATATACATAAATAAATCTTATTTTTTTAAGGAAGTTTCAGGCTCTTGATTGGAAGATTAACAATGTTATTTTGGCTTCAGAAGTGAGAGAACCTCAAACCTTTTCATTCTCTAAGGAATCCAAGCTAAAGTTTATGGAGACACGGGAACCTCTTCCTACCTTCAATATTCCCATGCAGAACATGGTCCTGAGCATTCTCCAGGGAGAATCACTGTCTCGCCCTTTTTCTCTTGGTGAATATTGCGATCTCCACGCATCTACACCTTTCTTTTTTTCCTTCTTATGAAAAAGAGCATCTGCCATGATTATTCTGCTTCTGACTTCCAGAGGAAAAGAGCATGGTCATCTCTGCTGGTCTGTTTCCTCCTCTTCTCAGTGGGGACAGAATTAAACCTCTTGTGAAAGTAGAAATCATATTCACCAAACAAAGTCATGAAACGATGCTCGAAAACATGATTTAGAAACCCAGAACTGCTATCTGGCAGAATCCCTACGCTAGTTACTAATTGATCACTGCAATGTTTACATGTGTGCATACATTCTCTCTGCTGTGCTATGCTCAGTTGGTCGTGTCTGGCTCTTTCTGTCCTTATGGACTGTAGCCCACCAGGCTCCTCTCTCCATGGGATTCTCCAGGCAAGAATACTGGAGTGGGTTGCCATTTCCTCCTCCAGGGGATCTTCCTGATGCAGGGATCAAACCTGCGTCTCCTGTACTGACAGGTGGATTCTTTACCACTGAACCACCAGAGAAGATCTTACATGTAAACTATAATCTGAATTAAATAAAACCTACTTTGGGAAAGGTTGTAGGGCAGGGTAGTATCTACTCTGTTAATCATGTAGCAAAGGGTTACATATCAAAGCAGCCCCCATTGCAAGTCAAATAATTACAAAAAGACATGAATTCCTTTTACCATATTCTTCTGAGACTTATTTGATTGACTTGCTTTTCTGCAGAAATAGTGACCAAGGAATCTGCCTTCACTCTGTTCTCTCAGGAGACACATTGCTCCCTGCAGATGAGAAGCTCCATGAAGGCATATAAATACTACTGGAGCATCTTTTAATTACCATCCCATCTAGATAGTATTTCCCTGGTGGCTCAGATGGTAAAGAATCTGCCTGCAATGCAGGAGACCCGGGTTCAGTCCCTGGGTGGGGAAGGTCCCCTGGAGAAGGGAATGGCTACTGACTTCAGTATTCTTGCCTGAAGAATCCCATGGACAGAGGAGCCTGGAGGGGTATAGTCTATGGCGTTGCAAAGAGCTGGACACAACTGAGTGGCCAACACTAGATAATACTAGATTATCTTGTCACAAAATTTCTTGCAGTCAAAGGAACTATCCAATTCTGTCTGTAACCTCCGTCAGTTCAGTTCAGTCGCTCAGTCATGTCTGACTCTGTGACCCCATGGGCTGCAGCACGCCAGGCTTCTGTGTCCATTACCAACTCCCGGAGTCTACTCAAACTCATGTCCATCCAGTCGGTGATGCCATCCAACCATCTCATCCTCTGTTGTCCCCTTCTCCTCCCACCTTTAATCTTTCCCAGCATCAGGATCTTTTCAAATGGGTCAGTTCTTCGCATCAGGTGGTCAAAGTATTGGGAATTTCAGCTTCAGCATCAGTCCTTCCAATGAGTATTCAGGACTGATTTCCTTTAGGATGGACTGGTTGGATCTCCTTGCAGTTCAAGGGACTCTAAAGAGTCTTCTCCAACATCACAGTTCAAAAGCATCAATTCTTCAGTGCGCAGCTTTCTTTATAGTCCAACTCTCACATCCACACATGACTACTGGAAAAACCATAGCCTTGACTAGAGGGACCTTTGTTGGCAAAGTAATGTCTCTTCTTTTTAATATGCTGTCTAGGTTGGTCAAAGCTTTTCTTCCAAGAAGAGAGCATCTTTTAATTTCATGGCTGCAGTCACCATCTGCAGTGATTCTGGAGCCCCTCAAAATAAAGTCTCTGTTTCCACTGTTTCCCCATCTATTTGCCATGAAGTGGTGGGACTGGAAGCCATGATCTTAGTTTTCTGAATGTTGAGTTTTAAGCCAACTTTTTCACTCACCTCTTTCATTTTTATCAAGAGCGTTTTTAATTCTTCTTTGCTTTCTGCCATAAGGGTGGTATCATCTGCGTATCTGAGGTTATTGATATCCTTCCTGACAATCCTGATTCCAGTCTGTAACCTAATACAGTACAAAAAGGGGATCCTGCCCACTTTGGCATCTTTCAGTCCTCTCTGTTGGTTTTCCTAGGTTGGTTTGACCCTAAGGGCTTCCCTGGTGGCTCAGCTGGTAAAGAACCTGCCTGCAGTGTGAGAGACCTGGGTTCGATCCCTGGGTTGGGAAGATCCCCTGGGGAAGGGAACGGCTACCTACTCCAGTATTCTGGCCTGAAGAAGTCTATGGACTGTATAGACCATGGGGTTGCAGAGAGTCAGACACGACTGAGCGACTTTCATGATAATCCTAACAATATTTCTAAGTTATATTCTAGGGCACTAGGTCATGATGATAGCAAGGGAAGCACCGACCTTCAATGGGATGGAAAGTTTGGAGAGTTTACTTTTGCTTCTGACGAGCAACGAATTCACAATCACTTTGAAAATTATTCCACTTGACTTCCTGTGCTGCACATTTTGCCTTGTCATGGAACAGATTGTGTGTATGTTGTCTTTCTGTTAAGACCATCTGACCTTGGAAATGAGATAAAAACACACTAGACCAAGTGAGAAACTATTTAACACACAATTTCCTCTCTATTGGTGCTTCACAAATTTTAATGAAAAAATAAATATTTAAGATGGAAAAGTATGGTTAACAAATGTTTCAACAGCTGCCTTTAAATGAGACTTTACCCCAGTGATGAAATTCAGGAAGTGATCTTAAAATTGGAGAATGCTGTATCACCTGGTTGGTATCTAGTCCAAAATACCTTAAGGGAGGTGGCATCTAGGTAGAAACAGGTATAAGTCACTAGATACATAATATGAGTTTACTATCAAAATATTCACAAAATGAAAAGAGAGTGAAAGTAGAGTCTCTCAGTCATGTCTAACTCTTTGCGACCCCATTGACTGTAGCCTGCCAGGTCACTCCATCCATGGGATTTTCCAGGCCAGAATATTGGAGTGGGTTGCCATTCTCTTCTCCAGGAGATCTTCCTGACCCAGGGATCGAACCCAGGTCTCCTCTCCTGCAGTGCAGGCAGATTCTTTAGTGTCTGAGCCAGCAGGGAAGCCCCACAAAATGAAAGCTACATAAAAACATTGGACTTCTTTCCACCCAGTATTGTGATGTCTCTAGCCATCCTTGGCCAATCTCACTTTCACAATTGTTTTACTTTGGAGATGAATATCCCCATTCTACAAATTGAGAAACATTGAGAGATCATTTGCATGAGACTTCCCAATAAAGTTCGGGCCAAGGTCACAGCCACAGAGCAAGATGTGTGAAGGAAGTACATATTTACAATGATATCTGGTTTCATTCTCACTGTTCTCAGTCATTTGGCATTCTGAGGTCAGAGGAGGCCTCCTTTCACTTAGGTGTCTCTGATACAGCTGTATCAGGGAGAAATGGCATGGCAGGTCACTGTAGCATGGCTTGGGAAAGTGACAGGCCTAGGGTAAGTAAGAATCACAGACTAGAGTACAGTATTGGATGGGCTCTTAATAAAGATCATTTAGCTCAGTTGTCTGTGCAGTAGTTCTGGGAAATTGTGAAACATTTATAAGTGTCAGTTATTGTTTCCATTAAAAAAAAAAAAAGAAAGCATGTTGACTCATTTAGGGGTAAATATATGAAGTTTTTTCTACTACATGAAATAGAATAATGTCCAGAAAGAAGCAGTCACTGCTGTTTAGACTTGAAAATGTTACTATTGGGAATATCCAAGACAACTTTCTAATCCTACATACAGAAATTAGGAAGCTTTATCCCCAATTTTGACAAGCTACATACCTCTCAAATGTTGTGTGTTGCGTACTCTCTCATCTGACAAATGACAGCAAGGTTATGAGAGTAAGTGACTTGCTCAATGTCATATAGTTTGGTAGCTAATATGTAGAACTCATATGATTTAGTTATTAAATCCATTGGACAATTTATTCAAGGAAACCAAGGCTTTGAGATTAAGCCAATGTCATACTACTCTAGCACAGAATAGATTAGTGGTAAAAATAAGAGACAGTCAACTGTGATAAAACAAACTGGTTATTTCTCATCCTATATCTCCAACCAGGGTCTACAGGTTGGCCTGACAAGGCCCTAAAATTGTGCAGTGAAATTTATGAAAGTATGTTTTTTTTTCCTTCTGGGAAATGGCTTCATCCATTTCATCAGATTCTCAGTAGGCTGCCTGACAACACCTCCCTCCACTCCTTTATCCTACTCCCACTACCCTCTCAACTCCAGTTCAAAAAGAAAAGATCAGAGTGACTAGTTCTGTTCAAAAAGATGGTTCAGCCATCTGATCAGGTAGGTAGGATTTCTATAATCAAGGCCACAGCTGAGTCAAACTGAAGAGGGACTGTAAAAGCTGCCACAGGGAAAGGAAGGTCAATCCTAGCATCACCACCTTTTCCCACCCTGAATGGTGCCATCCTTGTGAAACTCAGTTAAAATGGACATGCCAAGCAGCTATGAGGAGAAAGAGACAAAATGGATTTAAAATTTTTTCTGTTTTAAACAATGTTACCAAGAAAGTGAAAAAATAAAAACCAACCCATAGAAGGTAAGAAAATACCTGTAAATCATATATATGACAATGGTCTCATATCCAAAAGATATAAAGAACTCTCATAATCAAACAACAGATAACAGCCCAATTGTGAAAAGGAGCAAGAGATTTGAGCGAATAGACATTTCTTTAAAGAAGATATACAAGTGGTCAATATGCTCATGAAAGGATGGCCAACATCACCACAAATCAAAACTATAATGAGATTCTGTGTCATCCACAATAGGATGGTGATACCAAAAAAGATGGTTAAGAAGAAGTAGTATTGGCTAAGTTATGGAGAAATAGCATTTCTCGTACATTGCTGACAGGAATGTAAAGTGGTGCAGCCACTTTGCAAAACAGTTTGATTGTTCCTCACAAGGTAAACAAAGAATTATCATATGAGCCAGCAATTTCACTCTTAGGTATATATCCAAGAGAAGTGAAACAGAGGTCCACATGAAAATGTGTACAGGAATGTTCGTAGAAGCACTACTTGTAGTAGCTAAAAAATAGCAGCAACTCAAATGTCTATCAACTGACAAAGTGATAAATGAAATGTGGTATATTCATGTAATAGAATATTATTCAGCTATAAAAAGGAAATACGAATACATGCAATAACAATGGGTGAATCTTGAAGACACTTTGCCATGTGAAAGAAACCAGATATCAAGGGTTACACATGAGATGCCAGTGATATGAAAAGCTCAGAATAGGCAAATACTTGGAGAATGTAAGTAGAGGGGTGGTTCTCTAGGGTTGGGGAGGGAGAGCTGGGGAATTCCTACTAATGGGTCTGGGTTTCTTTTCAGGGGGATGAAAATGTCCTACAATTGACTGTGGTGATGGCCACACAATTTTGTGAATGTACTAAAAATGACTGAATCCTACTCTTTAAAAGGCTGAATTTTATAGTATGTGAACTATATCTCATAACATCAAAAAAGCTCAAAGGGAGAAACATTTAGAAGGGATGGCACTTTGGGGTTTGAATTCAAAGGTATTTTAATGAACTTTAGATATCACTAAGAACAGGTTTTTAAAGTAGACTCTGTGAAGCCTATAAGATTGTTCAGAGTCCCCCAGAGAAGTGTGGGTGGGCAGGTGGCTAGTGGGCAGTGAAGAAGTGCAGAGGTGGAGTGGAATATGGTAGCTTGGACTCTGGGCCCCCTATTTCTTGAATTCCTGCCCCCTCCATTTCATCCAGAACAATTTAATTCATTCCACATGCTGGCCTTCTTGGTGAGGTCTGAAGAATCGACAGCTAAAAACAGCCTTAATGAAACTATCCTTTTACAGATGAGGAGACTGAGTGAAGAAGCTGAGTGACTTGATCAGCTCCAGTTTGCAGCACCGCCCGGGCAAAAGAACCAGGGTATGGATGCCCATCTAACCTATGCCTTCCTCAGGAGGCTGGCCTGTGCACCTCAGCTCTTCTCTGTAACTCCTTCTGGATACTGAGCCTCCAGACCAGTGGTTTTCACAATGGGGTCTCCAGACCAGCCAGCAGCAGCAGCATCACTAGGAAATCTGTCAAAAATACAAATTCTTGGACCACACCCCAGACCTATCGGAAACTCGTGTGGGGTGAGACCCAACAATCTGGGCTTCAAAAAGCTCTCTGGATGAGTCTGATAGGCACTGAGACGGAGAACTACTGCTCCAGATAGTCCTCATGCTGTGAACAGAGCCAGCAAAGAGAACCCTGGCACCCTGTGTTTGACCGTAGTGCTTAGAGCATAGCCCCCCGGGGCAAGGTGGCCTACAAGAAAACCCATCAGGAGCAGCAGCTAAGCGGGATGGCTGAGGAAGCTGATCTGGAGGGGAAAGAAGGTTAGAGACAATCTTGCCAGGAAGAGAATACCACCAACCCACATTTAAAAATGGAAGGTGCTGAAAGAGAAAATAAATAACGAATAAGGAGCAAATATAATTTAGTAAAAATTCTGAGCATATAAGGCTGGTATCGAAAGATCTGATTTAGGAGCAATTTATGCCAATTGGCAACAACATGAGAGTTGCCAGAAATGTTTCTGAATTAATTCTAAATTGGTATATGAATATCTAGCTGGCTTAAGGCCATCGGAGAAAAATGATCATGATAGTCTTTAATCAAGCCCAAGTTGCTGTTTCTTTCTCCTTTACATTTTAAATACCACTTTGGGATTGGAAACTTAAGCAAAGGACTAAACTTTTGGTCAGGGAAGATTCACAATCCACTCAGTCTAAGGAAAATGAAAAGCCTGGGATTTCTTGGAAGTTCAAAGTCTGCTATCTGGGGACTGGGTGGCAGGGTGATCTAATGCTATATATCCTGGAGGCTGTGTGATGCTAGGAAGAGCTCTCTCCTGCTGCCCAGATGCTCAGGTAATGAAATGCCCTTCCCATGAGAAAATGACTTGCATTCTTTCAAACACACCTGCTGGAGATGCCAGCCCAACAAATACGGTCATCAAGCTGGATCTGACTTAAAGGAACTATATGGCCACCCCAAGCCCAGCTGAGAAATCACTTCCAAGTGACTGGCATAGTCATCAGCACACGCCTTAGAAATTTACTTAACGAACAGACAGCAAACATTCATCTGTGGCTTAATCCATGTTAGAGTGTATTTCTGAAACTAGCAGGCTAGAGTAGATGGAAAGAATTTGTGAAGTTTTCTTCTACATGATCAATTGGGGGGGGGGGATGAAATCTGTATTTTTTTTTTTTTTTTTTTACCTCTTGGCCCATTTCCATGCTGCAAAGTTTTGTTGATTGAGCTTTGGCATCAACCATAACATTAAACATGGTGCATATTGACTGTGGGACTCGGAAATCTGTTGATCGACTGGTTTTTTGCAGCTTAACTTCAAATGCAATCCTGGTTCTATTAAAACAAAGTAGGAAAAGACCAATTCAGCATTCAGATGGCAGCAGGTGGAGGAGACATTTTCTGAGAGGTCAGTGAAAAAGAAAATTGAAGGCTGTAATCAGTTTCAATTGACAACGACTTCACATGTGCTCTTTTAAAAGTGACTTTCCCAGCTAAGGAAGCCTATTCACAGAGACAGCCATGTAAACCCTTCCTTTCTCCACAGCACATGGAACACCTGTAGCTCGGCGTATTTCTGTCTATAGTTTACATGCTATGGAGAACCCTAATTGCAGAAGAATGAATGAATGAACAAAAGCTCAATTACAGCATTATAGCATATATAAGTTTGTTCACATTTGCACCTGACTACCTTGAAATACTTCATTAAAAAACAACAACCCCCACCCCCAAAAGCAGTTTCTAATGTTAGAAAATCTCATGGTGGGAAATATCTTAAATGGCATTATTTTTTTCCCCCTTTCTGGTCGTGAAAGAGACAGACATAAAAAAAAAATTCAACAAGTTTATTATATTGCTCTAAAGACTAAAAATATAGGATGGTTACCTTTGGGGAGGAGACTGAAATTAGGAGGAGTGGTCCTGGAGAGTGCTTCCACTATGTTTTTTTTTGGACTGTTGCTGGGTTTTTGCAATGTTAAAGTATTGCTTTGCAATAAGATTATATTATTTTTACAAGTAAAAGCATCATAATATACTTACCATTTCAAGAAGTATACAACGGTGGAAACTTAGAGTGACTTAATTTTGACATAGGTCAAATTATGATCCCATCAATGTGCTAACTGCTCACAGGAAAAACCTAGTCTGACATGAGCAGGTGGTAATACAGGGCTGAGATGTAATCCTTGATATCAGCATTGTAAAGGGGACCAGTTACGATTTTAAGAGGTTTCAGAGAAGTGGGTCAATGTCATGATATGTCTTTAAAAAAAAAGCACCTGGTGAGTAAGTGGCTTTAATAAAGCTCCTTCCGTCTGGTGCATCTTTTGAGCACTGTTCATGGTCAGGTTCTGGAGATCACGCAGCCACGAGGAGAGCACTGCTTTAAGAGGTATTTGTAGCAGTTTTCTAACAGTGCATAGGGAGGACCACACAGCTAGTTAGCTCAGGAAAGGATGCCAGCTTGCTAACACACCCTGGGTGCATGCAGGGAAGCCAAGTATAATTTCTAAGGTTGGAAGCCCAGTTCTTAAAGAAAAAAAAAAAACTAAAAGGAAAAAAAAACCCCTTAAAACACTCCTATATATTATATGATCATGTTAAAGATAAATGTATCTTGGCTCCCAAAGACTCGGTGCACTGAAGAAGCTTTCTAATCATGATGATCATTTGAAGCTACATTGAAAATACACTGCTTTCTGGTTTTGTGAAAAGGGGGCCTGATGCGGACTGACGTGGACAGGTCCCTGTGCCGATCTTCTGAGGTTTGTGCACCAGTTCCGGCCCCAATTTGAGAAATGGAAATGCTAAATCACTCCCTTACAATGAAGTAATCGTCTTCTGTTTTCACAGGAGAGCTGTTCAGAGCCCTTGGAGTGTGTGGCTGTGAAAAAAGGAAGCTGAATGCAAAATTAATATGACTAAGAGGGCTCCATGGGATGGAAAAGCCAAGGTCAGTTAATACACTGCCTCTCAGAGGGTGGTTAGGGTGCCTTATTTTGTGTGGATCTCACATAAAGGAGACCAGAGGCTCCATCAAATGTATGATTTCGATTGGTGAGAAACTTGGAAATAAGTGCCTGATTGACTTTCAGGCACTGCGCATTTACACCTATGTAATAATGTTCTTGTCCTTCTAGAACAAGACCCTTTTATTCTCTCCCAAAGAGGAAAGCTAACGTTATAGGCTCTACTCATGTGCATTCTATGTCTTACAACATCCAAGGCCTTCTTCACTTTTTAACTTCTGAATCTGGAGGTCTAGGGATGGTATTTGCCACTATGCTTGCCCTGATCTGCTTTTGTTGGGGCCTCAGTTGAAAGGGACATCGGGAAATGTACGTGTCCAGCTCAGGTACATGTGAAGCTGACCAACTTCTGTTCACAAAAGGTTACCCGACAGCTCCTCAGGCATGAGGAGGGGACCTGAGGAGGGTGAGGGGCTCAGAACGAACAAGACACACTTCCTGCTTTTCAGCAGCCCGGTCTTGGAGGTGGATGAACCATAAAGATGTGTGGTAAGGGGAATTCCCTGGCCGTCCAGTGGTAGGACTCCGAACTTTCACAGCCGAGGGCATGGCAGGTTCAATCCCTGGTTGGGGAACTAAGATCCCGTTAGCCAAGCCACGTGGTGAGGGAGGAAATAGAGTCACTATCTACCTTTTACATCCCTTGTCTTCCCCTTTCCTTCCAGCATCTCCCTATTTCTTACTCCATACTCAGAAGTCTGGCTTCTCAGAAAAGGGCAAACAAGTCTTTGTGTACAATTGTGTGCACAGACCAGAAGCTAGTAAGGCTTCATTCTAGTGCTTTAGCCACTAGTTGTAGATCAAGGGAGAACTTTTCAGCACAGGGAGACTGCCCTGCAAGGAGTTTTTGGTGGGATGGTACGACTTTAGGGAAAGATTTGCTTTTCCTAGAAATGAGCATGTAGGAAATGGTGGAAATCAAAACCCTAAGGAAAGATTTTGAGCACTGGTTTGAGAAATAGGCTTGCCTTTGGTTCTACGATTGGGAAGAAAATAGTAAAACACAAAACCTGAGTCCCTAAGACTTTAAGCTCTTAGAAGTGCCATCAGACACCTGCCCAGAGTCCTTGGTGCACACAGCCCCTTTCCCAATTCCTGCTGAGATGCTCCCCAACCTGGGACTGTGCTGTTCTTTTGCCTTTTTGGCTTCCAGTTTTGATGTTATTCCTTCTCTTCTGTTCTTGCAAGATACAAGATACCAGATTCAGATCACTCTCAGCCAAACCCAGCTCCCATCACACACAACTGATCCATCAACTCAACTACACAACATCTGGAGATCCAGAGGAATCTGTGGTGTCCAGGTGACTGGGGGGTTTTGTGAGCGAGGAAAGATAATGAAACAGTTATGAACTGGAAAAGGAACTTGGATGTGTGTCTGGAGATAGACAGGGTGACGATAATGATGTCAAACCAAGGCAAATCTCTATACCTCTGATATTCAGATATAGACACTCCAAGAGGGAAGGGATGTGATCTCCCATCCTTCTTGGCATGCCAAGAGCTCAGCACTGTGCCTAGCAGACAGGAGGAGCCCAAACAGTTTTTGTTGAGTGGATGTGTCCTGTCCTCATTTTCTTCTTATTTCTTGGGAAACTCTACCTAGAAAGGCAGCATTCCCACCTCAATCCCATAAGCCATGGTGACAAAGTGGGCAATGTGTAGGAAACCAAAATGTACAATTAATGTCTCATGCCTGTTTGTTGCGATCTAGTTAGATTTTGGGCAAGATAACTCATGGTCAGCATGTGGTACGTGCTCACAAAATGAACAGTGCTGTGGAGGTCTTGTCCACATCACTGGAAAGTCAAGAGATGCCTGCTCCCTGTGCTTAAAACAGTGGATTAGTAGGTTCTCCTCTTTCTCTCCAGCCAGCTGTCCACCCACACATACGTTTAACAAATACATATTAACTAAACATTTTGTGCCAGACATTTATGGGAATTAAGGATACAGAGACAAGAAGGACCCTCTCCTCACAGAGCTGAATGAAAACATGGGCAGCCTTATTTTGTGCCCTCTTTTGTTGGGTTTGGCAAGATGTGGGAAGGGGAACAGAAGCTGCAATGTGGCCACCACTCCAGCTGACTATGACAAGCAATCACCTTCTCCCAGATGCTCCAAGTGACGGCTGACTCAGAGCCGCCACCCATCCCTTCCTGAGTCAGTCCACAGCGGGGAAGGCGTGCAGAGCCTGTCCAGCCACCTGTGCTCACCTTTTGACACAAGATTCGATCATGTCACTTGCCATCAGCTTCAGCCGTTGTTCCAGGTGCTTTCCAAACTCCTCTTCGGGCCAGTGCAAGTCCCGAATGAAGGTCTGCAGGGCATCGAGTTTCCAGAACAGATCTTCTGAAGTGCCTGATCCATTACTGGCAGGATAAAAATGAGAAAACAAGAGTCACCCGCTGGCTGATGGTTCTGCAAAAGCTGACACGAGAACAAGGCGGGGACTGGAAGGCTTAAGGCAAACAGTGGCTTCCACATACAAAACAACGGGTGTTGGCGGTGGAGGCGGGGGCAATCTCCACCGGCGATTAGAGTTTTACCATACATGACTTAGCAGGCTTTGTTCGGCCAATTATTCCAGACCCGTGAGAGGTCTGAGGATGTGCTGCCCCATCACTCCAACAATGTATGGTAAAAATCAGCCTTCTTTTAATAACCACATTAACACATGTGATGATTCAGATGAAGGCCACGAACCAGGGGAAGAAGTAGGTCTCAACGGATAATAACTACATGGCAACATGCAGTTATTAGAATTCAGGGTTTCATGCATTTCCCCAGCTCCCCTCCAGAGTGGAGGCCTCCTGGAGACTGCACAAGACTTTCAGTTGTAAAAGGACAGTGCTAACAAAGTGGTGAGCGAGGACCCACTTTCTCCCTTGAAGAGCTGGAAAGAAATTAGGGTGACTCAAACCAAGCCGAGTACACCTGGATGCCTTGAATCTGAGATTCTTGCTCAGTTTGGTTATTATTCCAATTTTCATAGACCAGCCCATTGCATGGCAGCCCCAAGACAGGGTGGGTTGTGGGGGCAGGTGAGTGGACAAGGAATATTTGCAAAGCTTTAGGGCACAACACCCGAGCTCCTGTGCTGGTACACCATCTTACCCAGTCCTCTGTACAGATGGAGAAACTGGTCTCGATTCCTTTCTGTACAATGACGTTTAAGAAACATTTACCCGGGGCAGCGACGGAAAGCCTGTGTATGGGAACTGCTCCACCTCCCACCCTCTCAACCTTCTCTGGCTGGCTTCCTCTTTGAAAACAGTTCCATTGGGAGCTCTAAGGGGTGGCCATCCCCCACCCCCTTCCTCGCATACCACTAATGCTAACACGGCAATTTATAAAATGTCCAACATACCATGCATTACCACTTGTTCTGACATCGTCTATAGAAACAGATGAGAGTGGGTGTTTCTATTGTGACAGATGCCAGCTGCATTGAATTAATGCTTCAGAGAGAGAAATATAGCTAGTGCATAAGTGCATACACAGCTACTGCGGGGGGGTGGGGGGGGGCAGACTCCCAACATGCCGGGAGGGAGCCCACGGCCTGCACCAACAGGGTCACGTTCTCAAGGACAGACCAGTCTGAGGTCAGTACGCAGATGTATCTGACACGAAGGAGCAGGTAACATGGAAACACGTCCTTAAAATGAAAGGTGGCAAAGGAAGAAACTGAAATTATGAAAAGATATAGAATCAGGCATTTCCTGGTGGGTGACTGAGAATCTACGCCTTCTTTTCAGATACTGTGGTAGGCACTGTTCAAAAGCGGGGGAATGCATCATCAAAGTTCAGCCTTCCCCCTATCCCGTCCTAGGCCTGGGAAAAAGAAACCCCAACTTTGTCTAGTCTAAACCCCGTTTTGGAACTGCATGGTTGTATGTTTTAAATCATTAAGTACATATGAATGCAATAATTGGTATTTATTACAACAACATTTTGACACCCATCTGGTTTCAGAGTTTCAAAAAATTCTTCTAGGGTTTTTTTTTCTTTTTTCTTTGAAGAGCTTATTATTAAGTTTTGACATGAGGAAAAGAATATTTTCTTTTTATTTTTAAGATAAACTGTTAATGTTAAGGCAATAGCACCAAGATTATTTTGATTGCTGAGCAGTTACCAAAATGTGTTCCCACTCATGCCTTAATTAATTGAACGGAGACCATTATCTGCTTTATTACAATGTCTTGATTCATATCTTTTCAAAAACATGTCACAGAGCATGCACAGAAGGAGGTAAGGGAAGCTTTCAGATATTTATTTTTAAATTTTTAACAGATACTACCTAATCTAACTTTTCATATAGTCATCTTAGCATGAATATGATTTATGGTTTTTTTTTATTAAGAAGTTTTTTTTTCCCCTCCAAGATACAAATTTTGGAGATTTTAATTTGTCTTCGAAAGAAAATCAGACACATTGACAAGATGATTTCTTTGTGAACTTTTGAGCAAATATATGAGTTTTAAAAAAATGTTAGGCGGCTTTGGAGGAGCCAAGTAGAGCAGTCATTCTAAAGTTCTGTTCTCTACCTGGATTACTGCAGAAATAAAAACATGGAGGGCCATCTTGATGAATGTGATTCTGAGATTTCAAAACATCACTGCCAGTTTCAGATCATTTTTTATTCCTTTGATAATAACACTTCCCTTTGAAAATGTGCCAATTTATTCTTTCAAGAAAAAGCTTATCTGGCCTATAATTAGCTGTGGTCTAAGACAAGGATCAAAGGAGGGTACAGGATCACTAAACCTTCTTTCACTTATTAAATCATGCATGTGGTTCTAATTTAATTTTCCTGTGGGAGGATTTCAGGGTGCTGGATCTTCTTCTTGCTTAGGAAAGAAGGAGAGAAGATTCATTTCCTAGGCTAGAAGAAACGACTTCTCAACCTCCACCCTTCCAACTGCTGGCTTTAAAGGGGTGACCTGACCTCCATGGAAAAAGCCCATAAATTGCAGGCATTTGGATGACTACAGAGAAAGGCCCTACACTGAAACCACAGATGATATGCTCATCCCCAATTTAATGGCACTGTGTTCTCAGATTCAGAGACCTTCTTGCTACCTAGATCTCAACGCTCCAAACTGTATTATGACCTTGGAACGTACTTTAAATAACATTTACATTACTAAGGCTTGATCCATTCAGAAATTTTTGTTTAGCCAAGAACATACAATTACTATATTCTGTCATTTGCTGACACCAGAAATATGCTTTATGGTTTAAACATTATCTAGGAATTTTTTAATTAAAAACAAAAAAACCAAACCAGCTTCTAGATAGGTGTGCTTTTCTCTCTGATTTGGATCAAGCCAGAAATGACTAGCCAGCCCAGCAAAGAGGTTTCCTAGACTATTTTTGGATGATTAATTTCTAAAGTCATGTCACCTGGATTAGAAAAAAAACAACAACAAAAAAGCAAAACATGGGAAGAAGCCTTTTGCAAAGGAATTCAGGAAGTGAAACACAGTTCTCAAACATTCAGTGGGCGTAAGACAAATTGTTAGTGCGGTATATATAGCCAATGTCTTACAAACACGCTGCATGCCAGAAATAAACAATATTGTCTCTGTATGATCAGCAAAATATGTCTAATTATCCATCTCCATCTCTGTTATATAGGATGTATAGAAATAAACAATACATATCCATGCCAAGATCACTTAAATTTAAATGAGATCTAATGTGAACTGAATACACACTCAGCATCATATATAGCAGCCATCCATGACGGTGCCGAAAAAGTAGGCATTTGTGGGATGCCTAGAGGGATGTTAACTGGTAGATTTGGTACTTTGGGAAGGTTCACATTGGGTAGGTTCACATTGGGTAGATTACTGGTTAAACTCCTGTGGAAGAAACAGACAGAAAGAAAAAATACCATCACAGTGACAATGCAGATGTGGCAGAAGCGCACGACAGCTGTAAATAAACAGGCCAAGTCCACAGAAAGACAACAGTGAAAACTTAAGCAACACATTTCAGAAAGCAGATTACGGATGGGGCGCTGTGGTGTGGCTCAGTTGTTCAGAGAGAAATGATAGGAATTAATGGGAAAAAAATTAACCACAGAGCGACTGAAAAGCGTGGACACTTATGGACACCTATATACAATGATGTTACACATGTTATTTCAATGCCTGTGTGAGGGGCTTTCAGTTTCCAGATCCACTGCTGTGAGGGTCTGGACCTGTCTCAGACAAAAAATTTTAAGTTGAGGGAATTCTTGGCCTTGCTGTGGCTAGGGCTGCAGTGAAGTAGCTGGGACTGACAGAAAGGGTAGAACACTGATTTTTTCACTCTTGTTTCCGAGTTATTTTTGATGGAGGCACATTTTCTTAAGTCAGAGAGTAGGTACAAGATGGAGCAGGAAATTCACCCACTTGAACCCATACACAACGATAGTGGACAAAACCTGAATTCTTTCCAACCCCTACTTCTGAAGACAGTGTATGTGCAATGGGGCATCAGGGTTGATGGCAAAGATAAAGGAATTGTGTCAAGAGGAACAATTAGCTTTGTATAATTTTATAGAACACTTAAAGAAAATGGAGACCTCCCCTCCCAAACTAAGTCTAATTAATGTGGAGAAATGCTTACACTCAAAAAAAGGAAAGGAATCCCAAATTCAGCTCTCATAGTAAATTCTTTGACCACAAAAGGATTTAAAATGCGGTCTTCTGCTATAAGCAATTACTTCTGAAAGTGAGATAGAAACTGGAGGAAAGGATGACAGGGCCGTGTAGGGGGCTGGGGATATTCTGTTTCTTGATGTGTGTGATTGTCATTTGAATGTTAATCAAGTTTTATATTTTCTGTAAAAAGTCAAAATTTAAGTTAAAAAGTAATAAACAGTTAAAAATTGTGACCTTGTATCAGGCTTTCTTTTTGAGCAAAGATTGATCAACTGAGGTGATGAAAGAGAGACGGATGGCTTTATGAGTAAAGGAAGGAAGTAAAACAAAACGAAAACTCCAAAGCGAATCAACCACCTCTCTTTGGAGGGACTGTGTCATACACTGCTCAACCAGCTGGCATCGTGCGATTCTGTAGTGGCATTTCAAGGGTGTTCCATCCAGCCAAAGTCACTGGCACAGTGGAGCCCAGCCTAACTCTGCATCTGAGAGGAGCCTTCCTGTTTAAGTGGAGTTGACAGCATTTTGGCAAAGAAGTTGAGGTTTTCTTTTTGGATCTTGCAGAAGAAGAGCAAGTTTTGCCAAAGCATCTCTGCCCCGGGCAAGCTGTATTTGACTAACACAGCTCTTGCAAAGGCTGGAGCTGCCTCTGGGCTTGCTGAGGGGGGCAAATCTCCTGATAGGTTTGAAATTTTGGACCCCTGAGATAATCTGGACATCTGTCTCCCTCTAGAAATGAGCTGGCCTTTCATAATGCGAATAGAGCCCTGGATGGTAGATGGAGGAACCTAGGATGCAAAATTGCCAGCCCGGCATTCTCTTCCTCAAGGGAAACAGGTGTCTCGAACGTTTGTCCTTAACACTTCACATTTGGGGAAAGCCAATTACACTTCTCTGCTTGGGACGAAGGGGCGCTCTCGTGGGAATGATCAAGAGCTTAGCTAAAGCTATTAAGTAGAAGGAAAATGGAACTCTGACTTCCATGTTTCTCTGTTTAACTGAGGAATCTGACTTTGAATTTGGTCCCTGGTGGTTCTTGTTCTTAAACACTGCTATGCAATAAGACCATTGGCGATTTCCACTGAGACATGTGTAAGCCTATATAAGCAAATGTGATCATTAAATGATACACACACTGAATATTGATCAAGGAATTAGAAGATCTTTCGAGATGGCAGCTTGGAAAGTTAAAATGTCAATTCTGAGCAAATTAAAAGTAGCTAGGAATGAATAACATACAAATATATGCAACAGCAACTCAATTTAAACATATTAGCGGAGGGTGGGCACACAAATTAGAAATGAGTTTTGTTTTAAACATGAAAATTTTTTTAAATACTTAGATTAATCAAAACATATTGTATTGGCAAAATATGACATTTGGCCAGACTGCTGTACTGGACTCATAGAAACATTTTCGTTCTGTGACATATCCTTGTGATCTAGTTTTAAAAGGCTGAAGAAACATGCTTGACATTTCTGACTTTAGCAAAATAACATTGTGTATTACTAATGTTATTGATAATTCATTTTGATATTAATAACTTATATTAATCATCTAAGAGTCAATTTCAAGCATTATATGTGACTCATATATATGTGAAAGGGGGAATTTTCCTGTAGCATTCAGGCTACAGGCTCCTGCAGTGGCTGATGGATATGACAAATTATTACTTTAGAGGGTTGTTTAGCAGCTGCATAGAAACAAGTCCAGCATACTTCTCTGTAAAAATCATAATTGGGTATCTCTGGATAGTGTAAGAAGTGTAAATTGCAATCGTTAACAACAGATACATGTTAAAATTTGCTATTGTAACAACAGATTAATGTTAAAAATTAAGACTCATTCATTTTGGGTACTGCTGAATGAGTTTGGGGACATTTTCATTTTGGAGACCTTTTTCAGGGTAGCTCCCATTCATGTCAAAGGACTCATCCCTGGAGCACTAGATTAAAATACTCAGTTGCTCTCTCTCACAAAAGGATGAAAATTACAAATGTGTGCGCATCTCATCATGTCTATGGATGATAGAGTCATTCCTTATTTCCAGGATTAATTTTGGGGCTTTCCTGGTGGCTCATAGGGTAAAGAATCTGTCTGCATTGCAGGAGGCCTGGGTTCGGTCCCTGGGTCGAGAAGATCCCCTAGAAAACGGCATGGCAACCCACTCCAGTATTCTTGCCTCGGGAATCCCATGGACAGAGGAGCCGGGTGGGTTATAGCCCACGGGGTCGCAAAGAGTTGGACACAACTGAGTGACTAGCACACTTATGTCTGGGGCAGAGAGGGTATTGTTGGGTCTTCTCTCAAAGTCTTCTGCTTTAGATTTCTGGATGGGGTTAGATTTAAGACACAGAAAGCCTTCCATTGTATGAACCGTTTGTTGCCTGGATACATGTAGTATATCTTGTCTTGTCTGTGTGCTCTGAACACTAAAACTTCTTTCCTGGTGTACTCTTAGGTCTAATCCCTACTTTGGTCCATGGGGCACTCTTGGATATCTTTCTAGAGTTTAGAGGGGGTGTTTCTCAACTTTTTGTTTACTATCACCACCCGCGTTCCCCATAAGAGTCATTTTTCTTGTGTGCATGTTGCTCAGACCCAACCAGATTGAAACCTCCATTCAGGGGAATGTATCTCTTTTTTTCAATTTCTTTTCCCCATAGTTCTCCTGTGGTACATTTAACAGTTTTCAGCCTGTAAGGGTTTCTTAATAAATACCAGCTAATCAATACATGCTTACTGAACACCTGCCCTAGGTCCTGTCTGAGGGGTTAGGGAGGCACTGCTGATTAAATGTGTATATGGAAGGAATATGGGAAATCAGATTTTCTAGAATGTCACTGTTAGAAAGTCTTGGGTATTCAAAGTTCCTGTTTTACAAAGGAAGACACTGAGGCTGAAGAAGGTCATTGGATTTGCCCAAGGTCACTCAGCAAGTTACTAGCAGAGTTAAAGAGTTCTTCCTCTTAGTCTAATATTTGTCTATTTCATACCAGGACACCTGCATATTGCTATGGTATCTTTGGCCTGACATTTTATTATTATCTTTAGTAATCTGGGAAAAGACATTATTTTAATATTTTTCACATGTCTATCTCAGGCAGAGAGAGAGCGTGAGCATTTTGAGAAATGAGAAACCCAGTTTTTCCAGTGTGCATGTATCAAGAAGCAGTGTTTAGTTACACAATTCAGAACCATCCTGACCTGAAAGGGGCAACTGTGAAGCGTGGATTCCTTGTGCTGGGAAGTGAGACTGGAGATGATCTGTCAGCGAAAGAGCAGTGCAGGGGGCTTTCTGCAAGCTTTAGATTAGATGCTTTCTAAGCTTTCTTCCACATGGGGCAGGATGACATGACTAGCAACAAACCAACTCTTAAAAGCTGGTGGAATGCGGTCCATCTGTGAGGACCAGAAGCTCATACTCAGGCCACTGGAAGGGTTCTGAACAACCTGCCCAGCTGTGGGTGGCGGTCCTATGACGTGTCCTGATGGAAACCCCTGAGAGGGCCACGGGCTCCAGCCCGGGTTTGCCCTCGAGAGGCTGACTGACTTCAGCTGTGGTGAGAAGCTATGAGATGACATTTTCCACCAAAGCCTGGAGATTCAAATCATGATCACCATCTGGTTTAACGGACACAGAGATGCAGCTCCCCTTTTCTCTTCTTGCAGAGATGGAAGCTCACCTTTTCAGAGAAAGGCAGCAATAAGGACCTGGTCATTTCACCCTTTCTATCAAATGACTTCAGTTGTATGAAACCCAAATGATGATGCTCTATTTTCTTTTACAGGACCATATTTTGAAGGAAGAAAATCTGAGGGATAAAGAATATTTAAACTCCTTTCTTAGGAACTTTGATATATTGGTAGCATTTCCTTGTCAGAGTTCTGTTTTGCCTTAACATGTTAAATATTTTGTTAACTCTTGAACAATGTGGGGCTTTAGAAGCACTGACTCCTGTGCAGTTAAAAATTCACATGTAAGTTTATACTTAGCCCTTGTACCCATGGTTCCTCCTTATCCTCAGTTCCATTTCTGTGGATTCAACCAACCTCTGTGTAGAACTGTCATATTTACTACAAGAAAAAAATCCCTGTATTAGCAGACCTGTGCCATTCAAACCCATGCTGTTCAAGAGTCAACTGTACCAGTTTTTCCTGAAGTAGGTTTTACAATGCATTTCTCAGTCATTTTATGTAAATCAGGTGCTATAACGATGACTTTTGAAAAGTAGAACAGAACTATTTGTGTTTAAGAACTGTTTGGGAGAAAGGCTGTGGTGTTTGTTTCTGCGTGTATGTGTGTGTGCTGCAGGACCATGTCACACAATTAGAGACGACTGAGCAAACTACCCAAGTAAACTTCTGATTTCTGAGCACCCTGATGAGAGCCATTCCAAAAGGATCATTCTTTACCTGAGGGAAAAAAGGGATCTCTGCGTTTTTATCAACCCTCTATCTAGAGGTCAGACAGAAGCTCATGCTTTCCTTTTACATGGTAAGAAGCAGAGCGATTTATTCCTTCTGATCCCATTGGTGTGCTCTCAATTTTGTATTCCCTTTTATACCCTTTACATGTGCCAGTCATTCTGCAAATCTGTTCCACGGTATCCACATTCTGTTTACAAATCAGCTAATAAAATGTAGGTGATTTCAGACAATTTAAATTTAGCTTATGTATTAGCTGGCATTTTCCAATACCTCTACTTACTCTGAAAACCATGTACTATTTAGTATGAATTAAATAAACCGCAGTCATATTCATGAGCCCACTCACAGCACAGTTTAGGAGAGAAAAAAGCTACTTAAGAAAAAAACACATCCCTATAAACTATTTTTAGGTTATTAGTCACAAATGATCAACTCTTTGCTAATTTTCAGATCTTTAAATTACTGATCTAAGAGTTCATATTTTATTTATTTCTACCCCTTAAAAACACTATGTGAGAACATTCCCAGACCAAGACTTCCACCCATTTCCAATTGTGAAAATGATTCTGAGTCTACTTTTACTTCTGACTGATTACGTATATATTATGGTGCAGAAGGTTTCTGAAGAATTTAACAGGTTAAAAACGACTTCAGGGACGTGATTACAGAGCTTCAGGACAAATCTCACACACTGAGTAGAAACGTTTTTAAAATTTAAGTTTTACAGATGAGAAGACACTTACAGAGGTTCAAGCCCTTGCCTGCTGGCTAGTAATTGGAGAACAAGGCCCCTGACTCTAGGGCCCTTTAAGAAACAGGAACATCTGGAAGCCCATCACTTCCTCCCGTGTGTGCTGATGGTAGTAGCCTTCACCATTTAAACCCAAGTAAGTAAATGCTATTTCAAGACCACTGCTATTTTCAAAATGTGAGTACTACTCATTTTAATCTTTTTTTTTTCCACAATCGTTCTGCACAGGACAACTGTCTTCATTCGAGTGAGCATTTAAAAAAGTACACTCGTTCATGCTTGATCATCAAAGGCCCTGTTTCTATTCTCATGAGTTGAAAGTCAGCAGGGTTGTATTAAGAAACTGTTGTAAACCTGAGAATTATAAGTGAAAATTTATATATATATATATCTATATATATATATTGGTACTTGCAAATGAAGAGCTACCACCTATTAACCTGCTCAGTAGGTTAGAAGTTAAGAGACTCAGGCTCAGAAGTCAAGAGACTTCTTATGTGGCTCAGATGTGGAAAGCGGGGGGGTGGGTTGAAAAACCTATTTTGCATTGATTCTTTTATGAGTCAGAATCTGACCCAGTGTAATATCAGAAGGGGAGTCTTGATTCAGAAAACCACTGAAACACAGGCTGCAAGTCAAGGCTCCCAAGTTGAGAGAAGGCTCCTAAACATCTCTGGAGCGCCTGACAGGGTGCGGTGCACACCCTCCTTCACTTCGCCCTGGTTGCTACATCCCACAGATGTAAAGGACCAAAAGAACAAAACGGTTTGCCTACAGAAAAAAAAAAAATAGAGAGAGAGAATCTAACAGAGCAAAGCTCTTATCAGGCTTTACTGGAGCTTTTCTAAGCCTATCAGAAAATTCTCTCCCTCAAGAAGTTCTTCACTTCTCCAGAAAAGTGGTGGGGGGAGGGTCTGAGACTGACCCTCCGGCAGCCTTGAGTGACAGCCTGGCTTCCTCGCTGGGGAGTGGATGTGGCACTGAATCTGCCACCCATTTCTGACAGGGTCTGTCTGCCAGGCAGCCATGGAAACTGTCAAAATCACAACCTAAGGGTTTCCTGTGCTTGGTCCTACAGGATAAATATCCTGCTAGGAAAATAAACAGTAATTCAGGAAGTTCTAGATTAAGCACAGGCAAACAAGTTTTGGTATTACTGTACTCTCCGAGTTTTGAAATATTCCTTGGAGGCTACCCAGGAGACAAAGGCATTGGGTAGATGAGGGGGGTATGCAGAGTTTCCTAAACATATCTGGCCACAAAGTCCTTTTCTTGAGGAGCATCTCAAAAGCCTAGGCCAAGAAATGACAAACTGGCTCACAGGCCAGTTTCCTGCTTTTGTAAATAAAGTCTTAGGGGAATATGGCTACACTTGTTCATTTACTTATTGTCTGTTGCTGCTTTAGCACTACTGTAGAGTGGAGAGTTGATACAGATCATGTGGCTTGAAAAGCCTAAATATTTACTATCTGGTCTTTCACGAAAAAGATTCCTGACTCCTTGTCTAGATTCCTATGGAATCGACTTTGGGAAATGTCAATTCCTAGGGGTAAAACCACTAGAGTAAGGTACACAGTACAAATATCGTAGGCAGGTTTATATCCCATATTGCTTATCTATCTTGTGCTATAAAATGAAGATTTCATTTCATGAAACATTTCTCAACCTCTTCCCCGCTCCCCTCCTTGGACAAGGAGGGTATGAGCATCATAGTTGTGAGTAATGTGTTTGCTCGCCGTCCATGTAAACAATGGAACACCATAAGACACGATTAATCCATTTCTGTATGACTCTCCAGCCATTTGCACCCAAACTCCGATAGTATCAAAAGAGGTTTCCTTACTTGACTGGTTCCCATGACTCCCGCTCAAAGCCCCTGTGAATGGATTGTGCAATTGAGGACTCCATCAAATCCACATATCTAACCACAAGTGGGGCAAACAGGTCTTGCAGGTGTCTGTGAAATTTTCCATTGCACAAATTATCTAGAACAGATAAGCAAGAGCTCAGTAAGAATCCACGGTAGCTTTATCAGCATACAATGTTGACACAGAGAGGACTGTTTTCTCTTTTAAATATACTGCTTCTTAAAAAGCCAAAAAGGAGGAGGAAGAGGACGAAGATGAGGAGGAGGAGGATGGGAAGAAGAAGGAGGAGAAGCAAAGCAAAAGGTACATGAATGGCATCATGCTTCAATCTGCGTGGTAGGATAATGGAATTCAAAAACCTTTTACTCGTTTGTGTCACTCTCCAGAAAAGGGAAAAAAAGAATGCCCCCTTAAAGAACAACAAAAGCAAAAAGTGGTACTTTTTTTCCCCGTTAGGTTTTCTTTATACCTGCTCCCTTTCCCTCCTTATGCTACCAGGAAGAAAGAATTCTGTATCCCTTCTTTCCTTCATCATTCTCTCTGAGGAGGGCGGTCTATTTCATGGCTATGTGGTGCTCTAAGACACTCTGAAACACTTAGGTGTTACTTAGAGTGAAATTGTTTTTCATCTAGGAAGCATCTTTTGATTAAAAATTCAAAATGTGTAGAGCTGAAGTTAATTAGCTTGTTCAAGAGCAAATAAAACACAGAGGCATGGGCACCCCTTTCTCACTGAGCTTGGGTTTTTCTGCCTAGTGGAGAGAGGGCTTCCTGCAACATGATGCTTGTTGGAAGAAAGGGAATCTGATCAGCTGTAACCTTTTTTTTTTTTCTTTAAAGTAATCGTAAGACTCGGAAGAACCGTGTCCGGCGTGTAGCCTGCCCGGGGTAAGCGCATTTGGGTCGTCAGTTATCTGCACTCTAAAGCCAGGGGCAGAGGTGATACATACAGTCAGTCCGGAGGGAGTCATTCAGCAGCTGGAACAGCGGGAAGCTGTCCCACGTGTCTGGGGGCTGCACTTCCAGCGCCGCATCCATGTCCACCGCGAAGAGTGACAGGAACGTCTCGGCATGCTCCACCATCAAGTCTGACCACCACGCGAAGGCCTTTGAGATGTGGCAGAGAAACAACAGGCAAAGAGGTGATGAGCTTTTTGTCTCCGACCTAAGATGTGAAGTCAAGCCCTGGATGTTAAAGACTGATTGTGCATCCAGCAGGGTTTGGTAATTTTATTGTAAAGAGAACAGCACTTTGGGATATAGCTGGGCCTCTACGTGGCCCAGGGCAATAGTTTCCATGATTCCAGGCCTGCTTTAGAAATCTGCAGCTGTAGAAATGACAAGCACAGAACTTCTGTTCAATTTACAATAACTCAGTACCTTTTGAGTCATGCTCTTTATCGCTCTTGTTGACTAGTTCTTGCTCTAAAGTATTAGAATTTGGGAGTTTCTTCACTGTGTTTATGGGTTTTCTGCTGGTCTAACTTGAAAATTGATAATTATTGTTTATTATCTCTACGCATCTGGGGCCTCATTGTCTGTGGTTTCGTGCAAGCTCAGCAACTCACGTTTTCCCTACACGTTGGAAATGTTACTCCTATTTCATACCAAGGCAAAGGAAACCATTGTTGTATTGTCGCAAAACTTTTGAGCTGAAATCTCTTTAAGCAAGGAGCCTCTGGTTTTGCATCCTGTCTATAGGAAAGATCAGGCTTTAAGCTACGAGACACTCAGTAAGATTAGGACTTACTTTTCTGAGGGTTGGACACATATGTACATTGAAAACCAAAAATATCAGTGAAGTAACTCATTTTCATGCACATGGGTCCTTGGAAATCATTGTGCAGGGTCTCAGAGGTGACATTCACATCAGATGGGCCAGATGTGAATGCAATTCAAAGGCATGCATGCATGTTGACTAATCATTTCTGGCAGGGAGCATGCAGAATGAGTGGCAGTGTCAACAGGCCCCCTTTTTATCCCCTTTTGCTGATTTCAAAGAGAGCAGAAAAACAGAAACAATTTGCCAGCCCTTTTTACTCCCCTACCTTCCCACCCCGTGCTATAAAGTATTTACATGGGAAACACTTTCCAGAGCATTCATCGAAAAAAAGATGGGAAGGCATTTCAAAACATGAAAGATGATTATGGAAATAATTCCATAAATAAAAGAGGTTGTTCAATGGCCAAGCTCTTCTGTGACCTCTTAGTTATTTGGGGATATTCTAACAGCCACCAGGAGGCAGAATAGGGGTCCACCTCTCTTCTTTCATGAGATTTCATTTTACTTACTTCTCCTTTATCAACATGTGGCTGGTTTGCAAATTAAATGGAAAAAATCAAGTCATGGACCATTCTGCAAGGGCAGCTTGGCTGGAAATAGACACCTGCTGTTTCCATTTTAACTTACAGTAAAACCTCAGTGATTCAGAGTAAGGGAAGAGAAGAGATGCTGGTCTGTCAGCAAAAAACCTCAATTACTGGGCTTTCTAAAAAAGAACGATCATTTAGCCGCTGTTCAAAGCAGTCTATACCAGGGAGCCCAAGTACAAAGTATTCATTGATTAGCTATTACTAGCATATGGTAAACTTAAAAGTATTTTTAAAATTTCAAATAATTGTAGATAAACTGACTTATAAATTGAAGTAAAAGAGATGGGAGCTTTAATTTCATAGATCCTGGGATAAAACTTGGAAAAAGAGCCTTTAGAATTTCTAGAGAAAGTTGAGATCATGTCAAAAATTTTACTTAAGGGCAATTAAAAGAGCCACATCTGTAGTTGAATTGTCACAAATTAGGAGGAACTGGGTCTGAATCGATGAGATTTTACTGCAGTTTTACCACCTGAGGATGACAGCCCTGGGGTTTGGGGCTTGTTTCACTGACTACCTGGCTAAATCCAGCGAGGGAGAAACCCTCCATTCCTCCCCCAGAACTCTCCTAGCCATCTGCCTTCTAGGCAGAGACCTTCTGAACACTCAAGCTTGCTAGAGTTCCACTGCTGCCACCCAGCCCTATGTGGAGGGCTGATTCTCATCAGTTCTGATGGAGGATATCTGCAGTAATCACAAAGGCGCATCAAACACTGGCTGCTACTTATGCTTTAGTCATTTGTTTCCCTTCACATCTTCAGAGTGAGTTCAAAAGAATAGTAACTGGGGAGACTGAAATGCCTTCCCAGACACAATTTGGCTCTAGGGTGACAAGAAAACAAAACAAAACAAAACACAAAATGAAACAAAACAAAAACTAATCCTAAATGCCTAAAATAAAAATTTTCTCACACCAACCTCTTATCTGGTTCTTACCAGCTTTATTGAAAAGTTGCAAACCAGAGGCCTTAAGAAGCACCCATTTTAACTCTCTACAGAAAATTTAGTCCCTTGTTAGAATCTGATAAATTGTTGAGAAATTATCTACAGTTGTTATATTAATAATCATATAGATTGGCAGCCCTGTGAAGAACAATGACTACTGCAATATGAATTATTACCATTAATATCTGGCAGAGAAACCTGGTATTCTAGTGAAGGAAGAGAGATTAAATAGGGGGGTTGTTGGAGAAGTGAAGTCCAAATTTATTTTTCTATACCCACAGTAATTCTTTCAGAACCTCATAATCAAACTGACTCACTGAGAAGGAGAAAAAGATTTAATCACCAAAAAAGCCATTTCTTAATTTTAATCAAATGAACAGAGCCTGTGTACCTGGACTGGGCAAGGCAAAGGTTTAAAATAAAATAACAATGACATCTATATTTACTTTATACTTGCTCATACAGGTGAATGGTATTTTTGTACGTGTCTATGCGTGTCTAAAATCTTCAGAAATCTTTTCCAAAGACAAGAAGGAGTTGTACTTTGGTTTCTAGATACTTACCCAGTGTTTTTTATTATTTAAAGGCATAGATGTACACTTTAGGAGTATGGTCAACCACACTGAACACACTCTATATTTTCTACACAAACTACATGTATATATGTACCCCTATGTGTACCACAATACATATATACATATACATACGTATACATAGAGAGAGAGATTGGGAAAGTGAAGTTAACAGTACATGAAGGTATAATTCCTGTGTGTGTGCAGGTGTGTATATGCACATAACTCAGGCTCTGAGAGCAGAATTATGTTGTAATTTGGAGATTTGGGTGATAACTGCTACCATCTACTGCGTGTGTGTGTGTGTGTGCACATGACAATATTCTTAGCTGGTGGGGATTGTGTTTTCTCCTGAAATATTTAATTACTTTATATTGGAATTCAAAGTAGTTTTAGGGATTATTGACTTCTGTGGGGGAGGGGATCCCATTTGTCACTTTTATTAGTGTGGTGCCACCAAACAGCATGACTGCGAAGGTCCAGCTAAGATTCATGTTTAGGACTTACTGATTTTCTAGAGTTCACTGGGCACCTAGAGAAGATGGCAGTGAGTACTGGTCAGGAGGAAAAAAATGTCATCCTTTATCCTTTTGGCAGCAAAACCTCACCCTCTCATCCTCGGTGTGCCACGGCAAATTTTACTTCTTTAGTTGCAGCTATGGGTCCCTTGAGCAGGTGTTACCCTGAAATCAGCTGGACAGTTTAAAAAAAAATCACCAGGGCTGAGGGAAATGCCTCTGTGCTCACAGATGGGTAGTTTTTGATCAACTGAGTAATGCAGTTTTGTGATTGGGTGAAAGGACTGATTTCAGAAATAAACCTTTACATTTATCAAAAAGCAAACTTTTGGGCCTCTGAATTCCAAAGTATACCAAAGTCTTCATTCCTCACTTCCAAAGTCAGTAAATGAGAACAGAACTGAATTTATTTCTGCCCTATTTATGAATGGCTTTTGAACATGTAAGATTCAAATATTTTTGTGATGATGGTTATGAGGGTGGTTTAAGATGGTGATTAGTACTGAGTGAAGAAGGGCTTTTTGGAAAACTGGGGAAAAGAGGCTTCTTTGGAATATCAACTTCTCTTTGGTACCACTTGTGAGTCATTTGGGAAAATGTTCTCCTTTCTCAGACTGCAGTAGCCTCAGAAAATAACTTGATTAAATCAAGCATATGTGTCCATTTCCTTCTTCAATCATTCACTGAAAGAAAACCATCTGCTTTGTATCCATGTCTTCAAAAATCTGGTCTGAAATATTGGGAAAAGCCTCAACACCCAAATCAGGAAAGGACTGGCCAGATCCCTCCATGCCTCTGGAGATGATTCTGTGGACACCCAGAAAAGAACATACTTACCATCACAATGAACCCCAGATGCCCCCATCTGAAAAGAACATCACATAGGATAGAGTAGAATAAAAAACTCTAGCCCAACTTAATTTTCTGTCTGAAGGTGTCTACATTTGGAGGGTGTTGACTTGGCCCCTCTTCTCACTCCTGGCTGTGCATTTGCTGGGTGTTGCAGGAGTTAGTTGTACCTACCTCAAGGGGTCTTCACCCCATTCTCAGTGAGGGTTTGGGGGACATCATGATTCGTTGGCACTCTCTCTATATATAAATACTGTATATATGGTTCACATACAGACAGTTGTAGAGGAAGATTAGTATCACTCTGGCTAGCTACTGGTAACTAGGCTCAGTACTCATCTGCTGGGATGAAGGTAAGTACAGACGGACAGAGGAGCTACAACACGCTCAGGGGACAGAGTCAAGGCAGCTAGGAGGCGTGTGTCGGGATGTAACCGCAGTCACTGGTAAGTGTATCAGTTGCTTCATGCACGCACACAAGAATCACCCACATTGACCCTGCCGTGGAAGGCCACCCATTTCACAAGCAGTCCACTGGAAAGTGCTGTTACATTCCTTGGGTCAGTGTTAGGAAGCAGGGGCACTGGGAAAAGTCCCATTAGAAGACATGGTACTGGAAGGGCATGCACAGACTATGACAGCAGGTGGCTGACTCATTCATTTGGGTCACATACCTCTTTCCCCTGCCACGATCAGCCAAGATTGAGTGGAACAGTAGAAAAACAGGGAGGAAATTTAAATATGCAATCAGGCATTAGTTGGGATGATTGTCTTTATGGTGTATTATTTAACTATACTGTTGATTTTCATTTACTCATGGGAATTAGCATTTTAGGTGCCTTTGACATTACTTTTTTTGATGCGCTCATTTCCCCCTTGTAGATCTGGTTGGAGGGGAAGAGTGAGCATGAGTGAGGTTTTTTAAATAGGCGATTTTAAGAGAAATGTTTTTAAATCTGTTTTGAAACAAGTGGTGTAACAGTTTGATCATAAGGAAATCTTGGAATCTTTTCTTGGAAGGGGTGGGTTGTTTAAGTCCTTACAGGTTTGGGATTGAATTAGCCTCTAAATCCCTCAGTGTATAATTATCAAAATAATAATTTTGACAGTGGCTAGTTAAAAAAAAAGTAAGCTGTATTTATTTAGATGTAGGTTGGAGAATCAACAAGTTGAACAACACAGAATAATTTGTTTCTGTCACTGAGTTTAGCAACCCAGGTCATCTGAGATTAACAAATGAAGACTCTAGGGCGAGTAGACTAAGTTACAGAGATAAATTCAAAAAGACGGCTCTCAATCCACACACCAAATAAAATAAATCAAAACAACAGTGGTAGCAACAGAAACAGCCACAAAAGACCAAAAAGTATTTCATATGTTCCTGACAATAACCATATGCTGCTTGAATAATTATCTCAAAGATATACTCACCTCTTTGGCTTGTTGCTAGAAATATCTGAAAACTCAAGCTGAAACGTACATCACACAACCCACTTTTTGGCTGTTTTAAACAACCCTGTAAAGGATCCTCCTTGCAAAACTGCCACTTTCATTTGCTTCACAAGGTCAGTTAAAAGAAAATGGGAGTTAAGACATTGTATTCACAAAGTTGCCAGTAGAATCAGTTGTGCAGCATCTTCTGAGGAACGAGAGACCCTGCCCCCCTGGCACCTGCTTACCTCTGCGTGGTGCTCTTCGTTCTGCTGAAGAACTTCAATGACTAGTTCAGCAAGACGTATTGTATCTTCCAGCTTTTTGGCAGGAGTGATTAACCGGCCTACATTTTCTGTAGTACAAGAATTTGTGTTAAAATTCAGTGAAAGTGGTGGGCTAACTTTGTGGCCATTAGAACTAGTGGATAAGAAATTCCAAAGATTATCCCCCCCGCCCTTTTTTTTTTTAAGGTTTCATGCAAATGTTAAGTGCCATATAATTAGTAGTGAGCAAACCAGAAAGCCATTTTATTATTATTATCACCATCATTATTATAATATATACTAAGAGAAAGCAGTGCTCCAGCTTCCAATTTGCTTATTAAAGCTGTATGAAGACTATGACAGCCCGTTACAAATTTAGTGACATTTTGTACACATGTTCTTTAAAGACAGCATAAATGGATTATCGTATATCCCTCTCTAGGCAGTGTTTGTGCTACCTGAGTTGGGAAGATGGAACAGAAGCTTAGTCTTGATTGCTGCTCCATCTGTTTCCTGGCTTTGTCCCTAAACAATACAACAGCACTGTTTTTCATTCAAGGTCTGCATGTTTAACAGGTATTGGAATGTTCATTTTAAAAAAGCAGACTTAAAGGTCTGGCTGTTTTAAGTTGTCCAGGGAGGAGACTGAGAATCAGTGGACATTCCCAGGCCATTAAATAGAAGGCAGGATAGAATTTTTAAAAGAACATAGGGTGTAGCGTATTGGATGAACTGGTTTGTCCCACTGGTTTGTACAAGTGAAATTTTATCAGTGAGATGGCAACAATGCGCTTTAGGTTCTACTGTGTTGAAAGGGCTTTTATTGCACTTAAGAACTAGCTGAACCCTGGTTTCCAAACTCTGGTTTTCGTTTTATCCTTTATAGAGCTAAATTCTTGAAGGTTTGGCAAAGTTATTATGTTACAAAGAACTGTATTTTTTTGTTTCCTGTTGGGGTGTGGCAAAGAGTAATATTTGAAACAAAGATTTCCTAAGCCAATGAAATGGCCTGAATTCAACCAGTCTAAACTCACAGGTGAACTTGTAGTTTGTGCTCAGACCCCTTCGAATCTTGAAGCCTGAGTCATCTATAGCCCATGGTGTATAACAGCAATTAGGATCCTTTAGCACAATTCCACAAGGAGGGTATATGTGTGCACGAAAGGACTGCTGAAAGTTATTTCAATCTCCTCATCTGAAGCAGATACGTTCTGACTTCAGGGTTTTACTTGCCAGAGAAGGTAACTCAATACTTCACAGGAAGGGCTGGTGTGCTGTTGGTGGTTTGGTTGTGTTTTTGTCAGGGGAGTGGTAAACAAAATGGTAGGAGGTGGCTAATTTAAAAAGAAGAGAAACAAGTAGTTTCTCATAATATTTTCCTAATTTTTTGTGCATTTGTTATATAGGTGATGAACATGGAAGATGATTAATAATGTAGGATTTAACAACAAGAAAGAAAAATTCTGTGAAACACTAGGGCAAAAGGAGTGGTCCAGCCAATAGGAACTATGAATGATGGGTGGGGTTGGTCAGATAATTGAGGTGGTGCAAGTTTCACTCTAACAAGGCTGATGACTGGTGTGAAAATGAGCTTTTTGGAATCAGGCCAACAGAATGCTCCGTTGTCTCTGCCAGGTTCAGGTGGAAGTGTGGCTGCATAGAAGGTCAGGGCTTGACAGTGGGAGCTGTGGGGAAATAAATCTGCAGATTAGACAGAGAATCTCCACCCAGATAAGGAGATGTGCACAGCTCAGGGGCTAACATCTCACTGCCTGGTCCACAGCAATAATACCTGGAGAAAGACTGAGTGATGGGTTTGATACCTGTGCCTCTGCGGTGCCTGGTCTGTTTGTAATTTCACAAATGGACTATCGTAATTTCATTAGTAGACTTTCAGGCATTTCTAACAAACATACTGTGTATATATGTTGAGGTAATATGTGTAGAGTGAGGTATTTGCATTTTGATAGTAAATATGCACAGGCTACTTTTTTGTTAGTTGATATTCACATTTACACATCAATTTGCAAATTCCTCATCCTATGCTTATTACCTATTCGACACATACACCCACATACACACATCACACACTTACATACATTTTCTAGTAACCAGACAAGCCTGCACATTAATACAAATCTGCAGGAAATCCCACTTGGGGCACATCTTTGAAATCTCTTACTTACAAAACAGAGAATAGTATCCTTTTGGGCGGAACACTTATCGAATCTAGGGAAATTCTAGATGTCCATGACACGTGATGCAGTAGTGGAAATCATTCCCATCAATATTTTTATGTACTTTTATTTCAAAGATGTAAATGATTTTTGTGTTGGGAGAAATCCAAGATGCATAAGCTAGGATCACCTGAAGATTTGTTTTAATATGCAGTGCTCTGATATTGACTACCATATATATCAATAGATACACATAAAGTGTACATGTGCACACAATCTTCCTGTGAGTGTGTACACTTGTACGCAAATATGTGTATGCCTGATGTATATATACAGACAGTATGTTTAATAAAATCTTTTGCAATTTTGCTTTAACCAGCAACCATTTCACGTAAGTAGGTTAAGTATGCTTGAATCTAGAATATTTGATCTTTCAATGAACCCATGTAGCCAGACTTTCATTTATTATTAATTAGCTGCAATTGCATTATCTGTAGATCAAGCTACTATATTGAGACACATTATTTTCCTCTTACTTGCACTGTTGACTCACTAGTTAGTAAAAATGGCACTAAAATCAACTTGTTTAAGATGTTGTCTTTAAAGAAAATATTGTGCAAAATCCTGTAGCCCCTCTTCCATCCCCCCAACAGAGATCAAGGAGAAATTTGTGCTTAGAAATGATTTTTTTTGGGGGGGGTCATGTCTGCTGTCTGCAATATCTGGAAACATACTGCAATATTCCTATCACCCAATCTTGTACTAGCTGGAGCACTGACACAGGGGAACTAAAAATACAATATACTTAGTAAACATTTCATACAACAGAATTGAAGCTCATAACATAGAAAAAAAATCATCATGCAAAATGTTATGCAACAATGTTATTTTGTGCTGACACTGAGATTTGAAAATGTTGCATATGTCAGACAGAGCTAGACAAAAAAAATGTGGACATTTGGAAATAATGCTCTCTTTTCAAGTCTCTCAAAACCTACGGTGTCAAACTTGAGAGTCTGAGCCTCAGGTTAGTATGCTAAACAAAATTTCCAGAGAAATGAACAGAAAAGCAAACTAAACTAGAAAGCTGTCGCATAAAGGAAACGTAAAAGTTTACAGTACTTGGTTTTGGCCTAGGCATGCCTTTGAGCCTCTGATATAACATGCTGGTCTGCGTTTGGGTGGGTGGAGGAGGCCCAGGAGGTGGCGGGGGAGCTGCTTGGGTAGGTGAGGAGAGACGGTTTAAAAAAAAAAAAAAGTAAAGAGACAAAGTGACTATCACAAAGGTGACAAGTAAGATGACAAACTCTGAAAAGAACAACCGAACAAGCAAAAATGATCACACACGAATGAAGAGCTGCTGCTTTCCAGGTGTGACTGCAGCGTTACAGAGGTGTGACACTGCCTGTCGAGGGACGAGACTCTTACCACCGTACTGAGACACTCAGAGGCAGAATGCCTTCATCCAGATGGGAACATGTGGGTGATGGTGGCGGTACCACTGACCGAAAGAAGATAGACCTCTTGTACAGTAAAGCACACCTAAATGTTAACAGCTGCCTCCTCCTTCCAGATGTCCAGAAATAGCACTTGATGTCAACATAGTTGGGGGATATGACTTCTCATCCTCAAGAGGGTATCTAACTTCCTATGGAAGCTTCTCCCCTCTAGTAGGCCTCTCCAGGCTTCAGCTTCCTCCTCTATAAACTGAGACTATTAACGTCTTCTTTTTGTATACCATGAGGGGTTGCCAAGAACAGGAAAGAAAACAGTGCACGGGATGGATCTCTGTAAAGCTTCAGGTGCCTACAAATCTTCACTGTTATCTCCCACGTGGTGAGAGGGCAGGAATTAATTGCTTTGCAAAAGCAGATGAAGGGCCATTATTAGTTCAATTGAGCTGGGGAATATTCTTGCTCCCTTTGTGGAATTTCAACATGTCAAAATCTGTCATTTTGCGGGGAAAAAAAAAATGTGTGGTATCTGATTGTTTCCAGCTCATTTAATTATTTTCAATTTGGAATTCTCATGGCTTTTATATTGTGGGTTGAATCATATATAAAAACTTGCCAGCTTATCAAATATGTTACTTGCTATTCCAAATGTTAGAATACGGTAATCAGCACTTGACCCATCTGTCATGTGGTTTTACAGTATCAGCACAGCAAACATCCTATAACAATAGCCTCTCCTTCAACACAGGCGCAGAGCACCATCAGCTTCTGCTGTTCTCTCTCTGTAACGAGTGTCTCATTAACCTCGGACCTGGTCCTTTCTCATGGTTTTCATTTATAAAGCAAGCTGTATGGTGAGGGGGACATACTACATTGCCAAGTCTGCTCCTTGGTTTGCTTGAATTTTTCAATTGGGAAAATGAAGTTTACTGCAGGCTTATAGGAAATGGAATTCTAGCAGCAATAATAAAAAATACAAGAAATAAGGATAAATATAATATCCTGGCAAACCATCTCTTAAAAGCAAAAGTTGATATCATCCGTTTCTTGTGGGATCACCTCAATGTTTGAATTGAAGGACTAAAAAAATATTCTATTCCCCAGTCTCCTCTTATTTAAATTTTTTGTTTGGGAAAGAGTGTATGTAAATAGACTTTTTAAAAAAATCAGTTTTAAATGACAGCTTTATAAAGGAAGGCAATTACTAACCTCTTCTTTATGAAAAAGAATTCTATATTTTATGTCTTGTTAAAATCTGCTTTTCCACCTACAGCGGGGTGCAAAGTTGGGAGCATTTCTGGTAACACCTTTTCTGGTTCTCTGAATGAATGTGTATTACCCGAGTGTGCAATTCTTAGGGAAACTCCTCATTTATTCTTTCCCAGATAACAGAATCTGTGTAAACCACTTTGTAAGTCACTTTATAAAACAATAAAATGCCCCAGGGCGGATCCGTAA